CAACTCTCTTTTGAGGTCTTGTCCCAGCCATATGCCTTCCAGAATTAACTCAGTCAACACGGGCCCGGCTGTGGACCAGGAATGAACACATTCCTTGGCTGGAGATCACAGCCTGGTTTCTGAATGGGTCCTGGGAAGCCTCAGTCCACAAGCCTCAGAGGGCAGGGCTGGCTCGGAACCTCCCCCAAACACTGAGGGAGGGCGTTCAGTCGGGCCTCACACAGGTGGCCAGGGGGTGGGCTCCACACCAGGGGACTGGGCTCATCAAGCCTTGACTTAGGGGTAGGAGGCGGGTGCGTCCTGTTTGTCGCCAAAGCTGGAAACAGATGTTTCTGCCCCGAGAGGAGGGTGCCAGGCGGGTGGGATCGTGGTGACTCGGGTGAGCTGCAGAGCGTGCAGGACCAACGGCCCGGGGCTGGGCGGAGGCCAGTGGCTGCGGTGCCAGGAAGGCCACAAGCAGTCTTGTGAGGGGAAATGGCTGGCCCCAGGGCCCCGGGCTGTCACACGCCTCTGGCAGAGATAGACTGGTGGTTCTTGAAGATAAAAGAGGGTCTGCTGGAAGGCCCCCTGGGTTTTCCTGTTGAAGAACTGAGTGAAGGGCCCGGCGTCCACCCAACAGGCTGAGGCCCTGGCTGTGGTTGGAGGGGCTCTCGTGCTTTGTGTGAAAATGTTTCCTGAGCAGAAAGAAACTCAAATACAGGCTCCTTGGACCAAACCAGGCACCCTCCATGCTCAGGGAACCTGCAGGCTTTGGTGTCTGGCCTCCCTCTGGCCTCCCTCCCAGCCTCCTGGGGCCTGCAGACAGGACTCCACAGTGCAAACCCTTGGGGCTGTGGACTTGGGGACAGCTGGGTAACAGTGACGATCGCTCGGGGGCTCCTGCAGTGAGGGCCCTGTGCATGCTCTCCTTGGAGGCTCTGAGGCCTCTCCCCCGAGGCAGGCCACCCCTTCCTTCCTTCACACCTTCCTTCAGCTGCTGCTCTTGAGGGACTTCAGGTCCTGACTGGAGGCAGGCAGTACCCAGGGCCCCACAGGTAGTGACACACTGTGGAAAGTGGGGAGCAAGCATGGACCGTCATAAGCAGGGTGGTGGGGCCCATCTGGGCCCTGGGCCTGGCTGGGTCAGTGGGGAGGCATGAAAATTTTGATTTCACTCTTGTAACAAGAACTCTTCATTGGGTTTGAGCTGGGACTCCCAGGACAGATTCAGGTTTTAAAAGACCCCCCTGGCTGTGGGCTGGGGAGTGGGTGAGCCTGGAGTCTGGAGGTGGTCACTTACTGAGATGGGGCAGAGTGGGCCAGGAGTTGCTCTCAGAAGGGAAGTGGCGTGGCACACTCCACTGGGCCTGCCTGTCCCGGGAGGGCCCGTGACCCTGGGACTCGGGCGCGGCCCTGACCTCCGTCGCTCAGTGAGTGTTTGCTGGCACTACTGCCCATGGGCTCTGGTCCACGTGTTGGGGCTCATCAGGGAGATAAAACCCTGCGCTCTTGGAGTTAACTTTCTAGGTTTCTACGAGGAGAAAGAAATGACCAACTAGCACAATGCGCATGTGAAACTTGGGAAGGGCTGGAAGGGGCAGAGCAGAGAACTTGGAGCAGGGGTGGGGGGATGAGGGCAGTGCGCCGTCGTTCTGGGCAGGGCCACGGGGCGGGCTGCAGTGAAGGACTGGGAGTGCAGGTCCAGAGGCCGGGAGAGAGGTCTCTGCCAGGGGACAGCCAGGCCGGAGGCTCTGACGATGGAAGGACGGGAGGTCAGGGTGTGGACCCATGTACAAATTTCGGATAAAATGTGAGGCCCTTTCGGGCAGCGGGCGAGCTGAGCCCTCATCGGCGATCTCGCGACAGGGCCACCTCACTGCCAGGCTGGCTGAGAAGGCCGCAGCGGGCGAGTTGGGATGGGAGGCCTGGAGGATGTGACTGAGGCCCTGCAGACACGGCCAGGCCCAGGAAAGTGGGCAGAGCTGGGGCAGGTCCGCTGCTAGACTGGGACGAGGTGCAGAGAAAGATGGGAGTCCATTCAGAGTCTGGACCTGAGCTGTGGGAGGGATGGGGCGCTCTTGCTGGGATGGGGAGGATGCAGGGGACGGGCTGCTTCTGGAGGGACCAATGGTGTTTTCCTTGTTGCGGCCACTGCAGCAGATCCCCGCAGGCACTTGCCTTGTCACCGAATGGAGGCAGGAGTCTGACACGAGTCTCGCAGGACCTCAAGCACGGGTGGGCGGTCCTCCGTCTTCGCAGCCAGAAGTGTAGCCTCCTGCCTCTATGTCACCCGCCTGGCTTCTCCTTGCCGGGGTTCCCCTGCCTCCCTCCCGCGAGGACCTTGTGGTGACACTGGGCCAGCCCAAGAAGCCAGAGTCTCCTCGTTGTGTCAGGATCCCGGGCTAAGCACATCTGCATGGGCGCCACTTGCAGGCTCCAGGGATCAGATCAGCAGCCTCACGGCCACGTTCAGCCTGCCATCTGGATGGTCAGTTGCGGGTGTGCTGAGTGTGAGATGTGTGGCCACCCTCCCAGGCCAACATGTGGAGTAAGGGCCACATTCAGGGATGGGGTGGGCGTGGAAGCCATGAAGAGGTGCTGCTGGGTCAAGGCTGGACTGGGGGATGGGGGGATGGTGTGGCATCGGAGCCAGACTAGGAGTAAGACCCGGAGTCTGCGAGGTGGGCAGGCCGGAGGGGAGCAGCCTGGGCACCGACCACTGGTCTGCAGAGTGGAGGCTGGGAGGCCGCCCGGGGCTGGCACCTGCACGGTGCCCTCCTCGCTGGCCTCCCCGTGCATGGGTGGCCCCTCACCTGGCAGGGAGAGGAAAGACTGCAGTGGACCAGGGCCCGCTGTGGGGGCTCTGGGGACAGCAGGAGGCCAGAAGTGACCAGGCACTGACCAGTGACCAGTGCCAGGGTCTCTCCAGGTCCCTTCAGACAGCACTTCACCAACTGCTCACCCCACTCTACCTGAGGGGGGCTCTCACCCTGTCTGATGGAGGGAGTGGGTGCGAGGGGGGGTCTCAAGGGCTGCCCAGCTGTGCAGACAGTGAGGGGCGGGCTGGACCCCCCCAGGACTCTGTGTGCCCAGCCGCTCCTGTCTCACCACTCAGTGCCGCCTTCTGTGTGAGCGCCCGTGTGCTCGTGTGTGTGTTGTGTGCGGTGTGCGTGCCCGTGTGTGGGCACGGACTGCACATGGGTGTGCTTGGGCACAGGCCCCTGTGTTTGCCTGTGTTTGATGTGGGGAGCAGGGCCTCTCAGCTCTGCTGGCTTCCGCACCATGGCTGCCCCCGCTGCTTCTCCGACCCTGCTGGCAACCTATCTTGCTCGTGTATGGATTCCCCTGGATGTCTGTCCTCAGCCTCCTGGTCCTCTGACCTGGGAAGAGCCAGACTGCTGGGACAGAGAAACAGGAGGCAGGTGAGATGAGCCAAAGCTGTTTATGGGGCAGGACCGTGGGTGGGAAGTCAAGGGGGCTATAGTCAGGACTGGGGGGACTCCGGGGGGAGAGCCTCCTCTCTGGTGGGCTGGGCTCTGCGTGGACAGAGGAGAGCCAGGGCAGGCGGGGTGTGAACAAGACGGGGCTGGAAGGGCCCCGTGCACAGGACAGAGTGCAGGCCGGGCCCTCTGCCCTCTGGCAGCTTCCCTCCGCGGTGCCGGCGTCTGCTCTCTGGGGCAGCTTTGCCCATGGCAAGAGCCCAGTGTCAAGAAGGGGCTGGTGGGTACAGGCTGCGGGAGAGGGGGCACTGAGAGCAGGGTCCCTGGAGCACATGGCACAGCTGGGGCCTTGCTTCTCTTGGAGGACAGGGTGCAAGCTTCCGTGTCTGGTCCCCTCCTGCCAGCCGAGTCAGGGCCCCCATCCCAGGCGAGTGGGTGTGGAGTGCCTGTTCTTCTCTAGGGGGGCTGCGGGTGGAAGGAAGGGTGCAGCCCTACAGCTGAGAGGGTCCGGGTGGCCCACCAACGGCCCAAGTATTCCTCCCTCTCCCTCAGGATCCCCGGGCGGACTCCAGTGTCCCCACAGCCCTGGACGCAGGGGTGCTGGCTGGCGGGCGAGGGAGCTGCCCACCCGTGCGGGCGGGGTCCTCACCCCACCTTAATGAAGGCGATGCAGCCGCTGTAGACCAGAGTCACGAGGAGCAGGGCCATGAAGGTTAGCCACAGTCGGTTGGTATCCTCCAGGCCAGAATAGCCACTGCCACTCTCGCCGTGTCTCTGGGAGGTCCAGGAGGCCAGATCTGGGGAGGAGCAGGCGCTGGTGAGAAGATTGGTCCTGCGCCCGCCCCAGCACACGGCAGGCAGCTGACAGCCAGGGCCTATGCTAGGGGTGCCCTGCCATCCCCGACCAGCATCTGAGAACTGCCTTCTCCCTGCCAGGCTGTGCGGGGCGCAGGGAAGACGCGGACGCACGGGGGCGGCCCAGCCGGCTGTGCAGCGGCAGCCTCACTGGCCAGGGTGAAAGAAAGAGCTGACGGTGCCCACCAGGCAGAGAGCAGAGGGCGCGACATCACGGACGCCCGGTATCGGCATCATGAACGCCCGGTATCGGGAGAGCCTGGCTGGGGAGAGTGACAGGAGCCCCGGGCACCTGCAGCGGGGTGCTCAGCGTTCCGCGGAGGAGAGGCCAGAGCTGAGCAGGGCCCAGGATCCGCTGGTGACTTTGTCCTGAGAGTGGTGAGGAGCCATCCAAGGGCTTTAAGCAAGGGCACGTCAGGACCAACCTGTATAAGAGGAAGTCATTTCTGATGGAGACTGGAGCGGGCGCAGGGCAAGGCAGGGTGGGAGGGACGTGCGGGCGTCCAGGCCCAGAGCGCACGCCGCGATCCGGCGGGAAGGCCTATGGGCAGGTGGGAGGTGCTGAGTCCTGGGACCTGTCACACGTCATAGAGTTTTCCAGGTATTCATTCTGTGCGTGGTTTTTGCGGGTCCACCTTGTGTTTGACCACAGCTGCTGGAGGTGGGGTCCGTGGGTGGTGCCAGCTGGGGACCACTGGTCACAGGGCACGGGGGGTAAGTATGCAAGTGATGTGTGCATCAGAAAACTTTTTACAGCAGTCTGTTGACTCTAATAAGAAAACACTGGCATGTCTTTGTTTCTGTTTCATTTTTCTAGTAATTAATCCCCACTGTACTCTATGAAGGTATTGGTCCATGATTAATTGGAAAAAATTAAAAAGGCCACAGTCCTGTGGCATGGAGAACTTGAAAGAGCCTGTTCTAGACACTTGGAATGCAGTGGTGAGGGGTCCGGGGCCCGTCAGACAGCTAAGCACAGGGACAGCTCCCCACGGACGTGCTCCGCCAGGTAAAGGCCAGGTGCACGGATCCCCCGTGACCCAGGCCGTGGGGGGCAGGGCGTCTTCTCAGACACACAGAAGAGCTCGTGTGAATGAGAAGCGGAAGTCAGCTGGCTGAGAAGGCGGAAAGGCTTTGGACGAGAGACGCGGCATTGAGAAGAATTGTAGGTGGGAGAAGTCATGCCCCATTCACGCCTCTTGAGAGGGACAGGGCAGGTCGGCGGGCAGTCCCTCGGGCACAGTCCCAGAACCCCTGGGGCAGGGCCTGGAATTTCTTCTTAGGGCACAAGGAAGCCATGAGGAGCGTTTCAGATGAGGGAGCAGTGACATGACCAGATCGCGTTTGACTCCAGCACCCGGGTCCCCGGGCTCTCACTCTGACATTGTGTTTGGATTACGAGTGAGGGCTTTCCGCTTATTTGCATCTTGAAGTTTTGATTGGATGCTGCACGTTGTGCACAGACACAGCGAGCCTGAGGCCGCATGTACACACGCGTCTTCCACTCGCCTCGGTCGGGCTGGGTGGCAGGAGAGGTGGCTCCTGACTACGCCTTCGGGTGGGGTCGGGCTTTGGGCTCTAAGCTTCGTGCAAGGCTGGAGACGGCTTGCTGCCACCCTGCTCTGCTCCCAGCCGCTGCTCGCCCAGCCACGGTCCCGGGTGGGGCGGTCAGTGGGTGGGGGGGATTTTTCTGGGGCTCATCAGTATCGCCCGCCTTGTGCCAGCTCTGCAGACACGAGATCCTGGCTGACTCCCTCACACCCCCTCCTGTCACGGACAGCCACGCCTCTGTCCTCCTGCGGTTGCGGTGAGGACAAAGCGGCCAAGTGCCTCTTCTCCCCTGAGAATCTAGGTCAGTGCGACATCTCCAAGCCCTCAGCTCTTCAGCTACAGTTTATTTGCCGGTGTCATTTTCTTGCCGCCTGAGTGACTATCTTGCTACTGACTGCATCCTAAGTGGAGGCAGAGCCCTGATGGGGTTTAAAGATCACCCTGGCCACGGAGTGAAGGAGGCAACACTGGCTGGGAGACCTGCAGGGAGGGGAGAAATGGCGCAGGGCCCACGGAGAGAAGCGGGAGGATTCAGGAGTTGGGGGGCTGCCAGATGCGAGGGTGACGGAGGGGTGAGGTGTCCTGGCTTGTCCATGGGCCTGGGCAGAGGTGGCCGTCTCATGAGGTGGGGCTGTGGGCTGAGGAGCGGCCAGGCCAGAGGGACGTTTAACCACGATGACAACCGTAGAGGGCATGCTTGTTCTGCAGGGGACAGTGGTGGGCTGACCCTAGACTGGAGAGGGAGGGGGTGGCCTGTGGATGCAGGACGGGGGAAAGGCCACAGGACTGCCCAAGGCAGCAAAGTCACCACTGCAGGGACAGCTGGCCCAGTGGAAGCAGAGGCTGCAATCCAGCTGGGGCTGAGGCCACGGAGGACTGGCTGTGGGGCGGGGGCGAGGCTGCCCTAAGCAGGGAGCAGTTCTGGACCCCTCCACCTGTCTGGAGGAGGGGTCCAGGCAGGGAAGCCCCAGCTGCCTTCCTGAGCACGCCTCTGGGCTCAGACCTGGGGCGGGTGGTGTGGCTCTGGCCTTCTGTGGAGGGCTTCCTTCCCTCACTCCTGGAGGCCCTGGGGACTGGCCTGGCCGCCTACAGCTTCTGCTATGCACTGTCTTCAGAGTGTGTGGCCCTGGCAGGTGGATATACCTCTAGCCCCTGCAAG